ATCCCATCCACATGGCTGAGTGCCCTGCCTGCACAGGTCCCACCCCCAGCAGAGGATGCAGGACAGACTCACTGGGGTGCCGGGGCAGAAGGGCTACATCTCGCAGCTGCAGCAGCCAGGAGCCACCACTGTTGGGAAATGGAGTCAGGCCACTGTGCCAGCCCAGCCCTGCTGCATGCCTGGAGATGGCAGGACCAGGTGTACATGCCTGGACTAGATGCGATTGAGGAACCTGCCGCAAGCCAAACATAATCCTTCAGCAGGCCATAAACTTGTCCACCCCTGGTTTTGATTATGGTTGTATGGGATGGTTTGGATACGAATGATTCTGCCTCAGGCAGGGGTTGGACTGGATGACTTCTGGAGGTCCCTTCCAGCCCTACTTCTCTATGACTATGACCACTCAATGACTTATGTTCACCCTCTATTGAGAGCCAAAGGAATCCCCAGAAATGCCACTACCAACCCTTACCTGTAACTGCAAAAACAATACACAAAATACCAAGAACACCCTGCGACAGGCAAACAAGGGCACTGCCAATGTCTTGCCACTGAACAGCGCACCAGTCAGTCCATTTGTGCTCAGCACTCAGTAGCTGCATGACTCTAGTCTGAGCTATGCCCATTCAGCTTGCCTGATCCTCAGGAGCACACTCAGTACTCCTGGAAACTTCCAATACCCCATTCAATTACAAAGTCTTAACCCACTGATTCACAATTGGAGATCTGAAAGCTGGCACTGCCCCCTCATGGTAGCACCGATTTTGACACTGGCTATTGCCTGAATGCAACGTACTGGATATTTGTTTAGCAACACTTGCCCTGCAGCTGTGATGCCAAGGGGAATGGGAAGTGAATTGAAAAATTCCATCTGTACAACTACCAAATCCCCAGCATCTCTAGCTTGCACATCCCGAGCTCTGCAGACCTATCACCCATTCAGCTGAAAACATCTGAGGAGGAAGAAGAAGAAAGACAACGTTACCAATTTTCTGTCTAGTTTCCTGTACAATTGCATTGGCTCCTTTCACGACCAGATTTGTGAGCGTAGTTTGAATCTTCTTCTTTGGAGCTGCAGCTGCTGCACTAAAAGAGACAAAAAAACCACAAAAAGTGAGCTTTATTCAATGACTTGAAGCAAGAAAAGGATAAGGGCTGGTATTTGAGCTTGAGTGTGATCTCAGCCATTCAATGAAAGCTCCAATTACACAGCCTTCTGCCTGAGCAGGTATTTGTCTGAAGTAGGAACTTTGTGCTTGGCCGCTTTTTGGTATCAAAACTAGATTTCCCATTTCTCTCTAGATTTCAATATATGTGGTTATAATATTGAGAGGATACTTGATCACAAACACTGTGATGAAGCTGGATGACGTTAGCTCAAGAGAGAGAAGCTACTTGCTGCATACAAACTCAGTTTATTCAATGAAGTAGCACTGGTGAGAAACTCAAAGTGTTTTGCAAACACTGGGCAACTTCCAGCAAAGCCTTTCCACAGCTTCCTGGCTTTGGAATGGGCCCTGAAAAACCCAAATGCAGGAGACACATCCAGAGACTTTCCTGCCACTGACAAGGCTCATTTGAAAGAAGTCAGCACAGCAGACCCTTGTCTCCCAATGGATTATTGCTTTGGCCATATTATTACCATCCCCTTAGAGAAGTCTGCCATCCAAGCTTTGATTCTGCTTATGGAGACAAGCAATATCCTGGCAAAACAAGGTATGGCTGCAAACCAAAAGGAAGAGGATGGTCAAAGGGTCTCTCTGAAGCTTCCTTGAGGCCCAGTTATACATAGCCAGGAAGGAAATGTACTCAAAAGCCAGAGACAGTGCTTTAAGAAGCCTCCAGGGAAGTTTAGTGGTTCTCTTACACAGAAGCTGCGTAGGCTGCTGAAGAAACCCCTCCATAGTAAAAGCCTTCCCGGCACAGCCTCTCCTTCAAGCTGGGGTTCTTACAAGCCAGGCTTTTTGGAACGCGGCCACCCGAGAAGGTGGACTGCAAGTCTGCCCGCTTCGAGCTGAGCTTCTTGTACTGAGATTGCACGTGATACTGACAATATTCACAGTCATTCTAAGAGGAAGAAGACAGAAAGGCTTGTTGGTGAAAACTAACAGACGATTAAAATTAAATACATTGCCCGAGACAACCAACAAGGTCTTTTCATAACTGACCTGCAAATGCTCAGATATTGTGGGTTATAAGCAAGAAATCAAGCTTGGCAAATGAGTACACAAGCCTTTACTACTGTGACTAGCCAGCTGTTGTGGACCAATTGCTAGATGGAAAAAATGCAAATCTCATACATTAAAACAGGGGTTCTCAACCCCCAGGCCACAGCTGGTTGGCTGCTGGTTTGCAGCACGGTTGGCTGCTGAACCAGAAGTGGCCGTGGACCAGCAAACCGCAGCCCCCCAGAGCCAGGTGGAGAGGACGTGGCTCCTTCTGCAGGGCCCGCAGCAGTATAGGGTTTGGCATTCTTACCGGTCTTCCAGCTGGAAATTCCAGCCGCAGTCAGCTGCGATTGTTAGGCTGTGGTTTGCTGGGCCATAGTCACTTCCAGGCCACGTTTGCCAGGCCATGGCATAAAAACTTTGGGAACCCCTGCATTAAAGGTTTTATTTTCCCCGTTAAATAAGCTCATCCCGAGCCTGGGAAGACCAAAGGTTTAATTTCTGATGTTGACTCATCTACCTGTCTGTTTCCATGTTTTAGGACCACAGAATTTATAATCTCCTTAAATGCACAGGTACAAAGGAAAAGCATCCGTAGAAGCAAGACGTACTGTACAGCTATTTTGAATGACAATTTTTTAGACCCATTTCAAGACAATATAGATTAAAATCTCTAGTCTGTCAGGAAGTTCAATGCTGTGAACAGCCCCCTCAGCCTGGTAAGCAACAAAATGAAAATGATTTCATTCTATCTTTAAACTTTCATCTGCACATTGTTTGTAGTAGCAATAACTCCCAGGTCAGACATTTTCAGCCAGTTAGAACCTGCCAGTCAGTTCCTTCAGCCAGAAAAGTTTTCCCCACGATTCATTATTGTTGCACTGGATAATTCAGTTGACATTAGGATGCTGTATTATAGACGACCCTATGAACTGCTCCGAAGACATATTCTAAATTTGTTGCATGCATCTTATACATCTATTGCCCCTGTTCTATTCTAAGTGTGCTTCAAATGCCACCCCACTCAGCTAGTGACCCACCATGTTCAATACGGAGTCACCTCTTTCCCCTTAAACTCTATCCTCGAGCGACTTCATTTGCTCTGATGGCTTGGATCACTATCACTATTCACATGACATACATCTCCCAGTTGTTCTTAGAAAAATAGGGCTGAAAGGGACCTCAGGAGATCAGACAGTCCAAACTCCTGCTCAAGGCAGGATCACCAACAGCTCACAACATTAATAGTTTAATGGGGCCTAGAGACTGAGGGATACAGACCAGATTGACACTCTGCATGCAGGGATCACCATTCTTCTTCCTGGCTTTGCAGGTGCCCAAATCAAGGGCTTCACCCATGAGCAGGATCTTCTGGGGATGATCAACAGACAAGCATACCTAAAAAGAAAAAGCACTAAGAGTAAAGATAAGGCTCCATAAACAGATTCATGAATGCTGGTCATCCTTAGAGGCACTGCAGTAAGTGAGCTGTATTATTGAGGACCACACAATATTTATTTATTATCAGTGGATAAACAGAGGGCTCTTGAGTTCAGTCCCAAAAGCCTGGACTTTTCAGGTCACTTGACAGAGTCATTCATTTATACACATTTTGGGTAATTCAATTGGTTGCATGGTGCAGCATCGGTCCAGATTTATTGCCCATCGTTTTCATGATAGCAGCGTTTCCCAAACCCTATGGGTCTACATCCCACCGTAGTAAAGTCGGACACTCCTGTGCTCCACCTGCCCTCCAGCTCCCACTGCCACTTCCCTTGTTACCGATTCCCTTTACCAGCAGCAGCAGGAGCTAGTGGCAAGGTAAGTAGTGACAGTGGCTGAAGTAAGGGGGCATTGACTGTTGTGATGTGCATGTGCCTCCCCAAGGAACAGTTCCCACAGCTTGGGAAACATCATATTTTAGCAAATGCTGGTTATCTGTATATTAAGCATATAAAATCTGTCAGTATTTCTGCTTTGTAGCTTGAATTGTGCTTCAGCTGACTGCATGCTCATTGTAACTGCCTGCTTTGTAACTATATGTGCACTCCTTAACTGTGCCAGAGATAGGGAAAGGGAAGCAGCTGTCAAAGGGCTGCTATTAGAAGCACTGACAATGACAGGAACTAGTTAGCTCTGCAGCTCCTCTCTCACCTCATTTTCAAGGGCTTCTTTTAGCAGCTTTGACAGGGAGTATGAAAGCCTTGAAAATGAGAGGAGATAGTCAGCTTCAGAACTGTTGATTATGCTGGGTACCTACACAGCTTTGATTGCTTCTAATAAGTTTGGATAAGTGCCCAAGGCCTCTCCCCAAGGCGACGCACTTGAATGGAACATGGAAAAACTGATGATTTAGGTTGGCCTGAGGGCTCAGACCAGCACGCTACATACCAAGGGAGCACCAAGCCCTCAGCCACTCCATGCTTGAAATGCTGCAGACTTTCCTCAGAAGCTGACACATATGGTACTGGTTTGAGAGGACAGAACCAGTCAGTTTGACATGGGGCTGAATGCAAGAGTGTCATCCCTGGTCCCTGATACAAAAGACTGGGGAAAAAAAAAACTCCAAGGTGGATGTTCAGATGGGAAGAGAATCAAAAAGGGAAAATACAAGAACTTTTTGACAGTGTCTGCTTAGAACAGGGGTGGGCAAAATGCGGCCTGCCAAGCCATTCTATCCAGCCCATGGGGCCCCTAAAAAAATTAGAAAATGAATATTAATCTGCCCTGGGCTGCCTGTTATGCGGCCCTCAATGGTTTGCCAAAACTCAGTAAGTGGCCCTCTGCCCAAAATAATTGCCCACCCCTGGTTTAGAAACAAGTGAGAAAAAGGAGAGGATGGTCCATCAGTACACCCCACCCCTTTTTTATTTACTATATCCTATATTGCAGAATGATAACGTCCCAATGCATTCTCTTGCAAGGAAGCAGAAAGCTTTGCATCTGTTCCCTTTATAGGTTTCCCTCGCTTTATGCTGTACATGCGTTCCTGCAAAATGGCACATAACTCGAATTCGCATAAAGGGAACCCACTTTACAATGTAACGAACAAGGATATTTTACAAGACCTCGACAGTACTGACCCCCAGACCCATTTCTCCCACTTTTACAAGATAATTTTGGTACACACAAACATAGGGAGAGGGGTAGGAGATAAGTTAGTGGGATGCTTAGAAGCCATAATGGGGACGGCAGCTACAGAAATGTATCACAGACAATGAGCGAGGAGCACAGATCCACACAGGAGACTATATTTTGGTGCGCATCACTCCCATAATACACCACACAAAGCAGCTAACTGTGGGCTTCCACCACACTGATTGCGTAAGAGTGAAATTTACCTTGCATATAATGAATTTTTGGTATAAAGAGTCATCGCATAAGAGTGAATTCACACATACATAACCCACATAAAGCAAGGGAAACCTGTAGTTAAGAAAGGTAGATCTGCTTTCATTTGCGTCTGCTAATATATGCTTACTATATGGTATTTTTTATTCATATGTATCAAGCTACATTTAGATAGAAATGGAAAGGAAATTCAATTAAAATGCCTAAAAAGTGGCATTTTAAAACAATTTTATTAAACTAGTAAAAAGCAACCATCTTTAATGTCCTAGTAACATATGAGAAAAGTTCATTATATACCATCATTTATTTACCACTATGCAAAGGGAAAAAATGGTCACCATATCCTTCATGATTTTAAAACTAGTAAATCTCATCCCTGCCAGCTCATTCTTATTCACACATAAAAAGGAAAGTTTGTTTTCCTCACCAAACTCTCACTAGGATCTTCAACTTTGAAAAAAATAATTTAATGTTAAACAGATTTTTACAAAAAAAAGTGTATTTAATTTAAAAAAAATTCAAAAAATAAAATCACATCTGATTTAAATTAAACCAAGTTTTCCTTTTAAATCATTGCTTATTTTTTCCTTGTGGTGGCCAAAAGTCATCTTACCTCATCTGAACCCTCCTTAGGTTTCATGGGATTAGCATTGAGCAGCCCAATGACTGTGCCTTGGTCCGTCTTCCAGTGTTCCTTGTGGACATCACCAAACAAAAATAATGAGACGCACTTGTTCAGATCACGCAGATCATTCAGTCGCCAGATGCTGAAGGTTTTGCCCTGGAGCAGACAACATTTACTTTCGGTTAGATCTTTACAAGAAGACCACCAATACTGCCCATGCTTAAAGGAGTCACCCTTAAAATAGTTACTCTTTTGCCTGTTTCTACTTTATGACCTCTAAGCAGTACATAGAGTATGATGCTATTTGTTAACACACGTAATTTCAAAAGATAAAATAGCCTTTTATCGGCCATTTCTATTGCTGCTGTTACTAATATTTAACTGCCATACAGCACTTCTGACAGATTCTTATTAGTCCACAATAACCCTGTGAATAAGAAATTAACCCCATTTTACAGCTGATGAAACTGAAGTGGCATTTTAACCAAGACTCACAAAGTTTAAGCTAGAACTCACACCTAATACTCAACTCCTTGATGCACAATCCTAGCCTTCCGAATGAGCCCAAGGAAAGTGGTAGAAAAGGCACAGTTTGGCCCTTTTAGAATGAGACAGGGTAAAACCCTGGTAGGTGTGCAATAGGGTACCACTTGTCTTTGCCAGGAAAAGGGATTTATTAGATCTAGCCCTTAAGGACTGGTTTAGTGAGAGGTGATCGTGCCTTGAGCAGAGGGCTAAACTAGATGACCTCATGAGGTCCCTCCTAGACATACTTTCCTCTGATCCTATGATTTAGATGCCTAAAAATTAGACACTGCAAGCAGGTGGCCTCTCTGATAGGGGTCTAGGTTCCCTATACAGGTCTGGGAGAAGTCAGACACATGACAATGGAGATGAAAAACAGTCAATGCACTGAATAGGGAGCTAGCTAGAGATACTCAATAGGAAACACGGAGTACAGGAAGATGCTTGAAATCTTTTCCCTTTGCAGCAGCTGTTTTCCACTCAGGGAGATGCTTCTGTCCACCTGGGATCCAGAGCTCAGACCCCTCTCCTGAGGCTAGGTACCTATAAGACTTCGTTGAAAGAACTCACTCTCTTCTTTTAGGCCCAGACAGAGATGTCACCTTTCACAGCCCCCTGGTTATAGCACTCGCTCAGGAGATAAGATACAGGTTAACAGTTTCTCTTTGGCCTGAGCAGCTTCAAATCCCAGCTCAGAAGAGTGTCACAATCACTAGGCTATTGGCTAGAGTAGGTTTGGGCACTTTCCATTCCTCCTCTTGAAGTCATTCCACTGTGCAGCCCAGAATTCAAGATCCACTGGACCAGAAGAATTGTGGCTTAGCAGTTAGGACACTTTTTTGAGGCACAGAAGTCCTAAGTTATGGTCCCTACACCTAAGAAAGTGCCTGCATTTTACATTAAACCATCCCTGAGCAGATTTACACATCCTAATGGATACAGCGTCATGTGCCTTGGCTTTCATATCAATACCCAACACAGCAGAATCAGTGCAATCTAGGTTCATGAGAGCACAGACACCAACAATACCATACGAGTCTTGTCTACTTGGAATATTTAATACAGTTGGTTTTAATTAAAAAAAAGGCAAATCTGGAGCTGGCTGATAAAGCATGCAAAACCTAATTAGCTCTTCAGTGAAAACACTATCATTTCATTACGACTAAGCTTATGATACAATGAAACTGCTTACACTGTTTGAGCTCTGAGGGGTGATTTTCTTCATTATCACTCCAAACGTTACCCAGTCTGTTTCCTCAAGATTTTCTCCAGCAAGTTTGTTTTGAAGCTGAGACAGTCGGATCAGCTTCCGTCCAGCCATTTTCCTCTCCATTTCAACTGAAGATACACGGGGTTTTCTATAGTAAATATTGACATGTCAGCACAAATGCCTGGAGTCAGCCCAGAACATTTAGAATTGCAAAGACAGATTTAAATTCATTAGGGCACGAGACTATTGAAGCATCCCCTAATCACTGCAGGATTGCTCCTTCCTGTATACTATGAAATGCTCTGTCTATGCTTAAAGAGCTAAAATACTCCCATTGGGAAATTGCAGGAAAACCTGTGAGAGTATGAAATAAAGCATGTTCTGTGCCTTATTTCACTCCCTGAGATCACCTGAAAAGTGCCATCAGTTATCAATATTCAACAGCCTTCAAACTTGTGTTGATCCATCATATACTGTGGTACAGTGCGTGCACTGCAAGGTTCATGTGTACTTAATTCTATTGATTTTAATGATGACTAGATTAGAGGAATACTGCTGCTGCCCAGGCAAGAGTGAGCATTGTAAACAGAGTAGTTTCCAGGGAAAGGAGCCATTTCAGGTAACAGGAGACCTCTTGTGATCACAGAGAGTATTGCAAATCTTGTTTGAGCAACAGTGGGCCAGTCCTGCAGTTCATAGCAAAGTGCCAGTGTAATCCGAGTATCATTTTTTCTTTGCCTCCTCTCACTGTCCTCAGAGCATAATCACAAGAAGCATTTCTAAGCACATTAACAAAATGATAAGGACATTTTTAAAAGAATACAGTCGGCATTCTGTAAAGGGGAGGAAAAATGGGTGTCCCAGCATGTTACTATCCAACTGTTAACTTCTGACCAATGGTGTTGCTTTACTTCAACAGCACCCTGACTAATGAATATTCTGGCATGGGGAAGTGATAAATAAGATACAGGTATACCAAATCCCTGACAGTCTGAACCCACCATTCACAATGCATTTCACATAGCTGCCTCCAATGTTACACACTGGAAAGATCATGTCCTCTCTCTACTTATTTGAAAGTGATAAAAAAAGCTTTGGCTTGCCAACCTCAATCTCAGGCCAGAGAAAGCTTCCACAGAGACTGGCTGATCAGTCATGCTGGAACATTCAGGCAAGTGAGAAGTCCTCTCTTTGACTCCAACTTTGGGGGTGTTCCCCCCAATAGATCTGAGAGGCTGGAAAGATGAACTTAATACTGTTCTTAGAGGAGAACTCTTGTTCTCTGCAAGTGACAGAAAAAATAATCATAAATTAATGAAAAATAATATTTTTTCTTAAAAATTCTACCAGCCTAAACTTAACCAACTGAGCCCATGTTATAGGAATACTTAATCAGTGTTTACACTGCCCTTTCTGGACAGGCCTATTCCCTAGACTGGAATCTCAAGGAGCAGTCCCGTTTCAGTTGTAAGTGCTCCAAGTGATAGCATTTTCCAAGACAGGCTATGTCAGCGTCCAAAATCTATTGCATAACTCTCATTTCCAGAGATGAGAATTGCAGCACACTGCGTATTAGACATATCTGAATTAATATTAAACAAGCTCAACTAGTTTTTGGTAGCAAGGTAGGTGTTATAGCACGGAGATCAGCTTCAGCTGGATAAACAAGCCTGTCCCAAGTTTCTTGTTCCCACATGTAAGCTGCTGCAGGTACATAACTACTAAATTAAAGGTCACTCAGTAGGTTTCCATTGGGAATGAGGACCAGAGACTAAATCTCTACTGAGCAGTAGTGCAACTCCAACACACCAGAACCCAAGAGTAAGAACCGTACCTCCCGGTGAAAGCTTTGCTTTCTGGGCTCCCCGTTTAGCTAGTGGTAATGCATGTGCATCAAGCTGGGCAGAGAAACACGGTGACTCCTGTAGTGTCTGCATTTTCCTTTCCTTTAAGGGCATGCAAGGTGGTTTCCCTGCTGCACAAACACAAAAGGTATTTAGGAGACCTCCTGATCTGGACACAAGCAGCCAGAACTGCTCAAAAAAAACATTTCCCTATGTAAGAATTTACATGCAAGAAATTGTGGAAATCCATGCTGCAGCCAGCCATGGAAGCGTGTGCCAAAAGCAACAGATGGCTGGGAGCCAGCAGCTCATTTTCAGTGACTTGACATACTGTGGAAAGACAAACCACAGAAGTGCAGTAAAACACAACCAATCCCCCATTTTTATCTATTCCACATTCAACATCCAGTGGTGTCACTCCTGCCTCCCACATGTTACAAATACAATGGGAACCTATCCATATTTGCTTTGAAAGAGACCAGTATCCCAAACAACAGGCACTAAGCACCTGTTTGAGAACCTCAGGTACTTATACTTCACAACTCATGGGGCATCAATCATCTCCATTTTACACATGGGGAGACTGAGGCTTAGTGTCCTGCCAGGGTCACACAAGGGATTTGTAACAGCAGAGCATATAGCACAGGGCTGGGTTTTAGACAAATAATCTAATTAGCCTCCATACCTGGAGCTTTCTTTGCTGGGCCTGAGCTGGATGGCTGCTCAATGGCAGTCTTTTGCAACTGCTCCTGTAACTTCTTCATCTGCTCTTGCAATTTCTTCAGCTCATCTACAAGAGAATAAAGTATATATGTAAATAACAGAAACCTGCTGTGAGCTAAGATTAACAATATTATTAGAAAGTCAATGGCTTTACTACCTCACAGGAATGTAGAGATGTTTACTGGGAAGAACTGGTGCCATTATAGAGAGAAAGCTCAAATTCAGCAAGAGTCCCACTGAACCAAATTAATTAAAAAAGGCCTCCTGGAGCTTAAGTGTTCTTTAATACAAAGCTCTTTTGTCATACAATCAACACAACACATGCCATCATAGATGATGCGTTGGGGGGGGCAAAGATTGGCCCTCGGCAGCCAGGGAGTGGAGGCGCCAAGCAAAGTGCCAGCCAGTGCCTCCCCTGAGATTATGGGGGCACTGAGAGAAGTGCCAGCAGTGGCGATCGGCCACTGGGGGACCTCACCTCCCAGTCGGCGATCAGTCTCTGGTGCCCGCCCCCAGTCTCAGGGGGCACCACTCGCCCTTGCATGCCATGTTGTGTGGGATATTTAGATCTCTTTTTTACTAATCTTGAGATAGGGTCAGTGAATATGCCTGTTCACTTGCAGTACAGTGAAATATTTGTGCCTTTGTGCTGAATGCCTTGGTAGCAGGTAAGCATCTGGCCCACACAGGCAGCAAAAAAACAAAAACTAAAGTATACTACTAGTAAGCAAAACTCCCTCTTAGGTCTGGTTTCTTTGGAGTCAGCTGACAAAGGCAGCCACTGGAAAGCAATTAACTTTGCCCTGTAAGCACTTATAGAATCATAGAAGTAGGGTCGGAAGGGACCTTGTAAATCTTCAAGTCTGACCCCCCACCTGGGGAGGAGAAAAGACTGGACTCAAATGAGTCTAGCCAGGTAGTCATCAAGCCTCTTCTTAAAGATCCCCAGGGTAGAAGCTAGCACCACTTCCCTAGGAAGTTGGTTCCAGATCCTAGCCGCCCTAACTGTGAAGTAGTTCTTGCGGATGTCTAATCTAAATCTACTCTCTAATAATTTGTGTCCATTGTTCCTCGTCATGCCAGGGGGTGCTAGGGGAAACAGTGTCTCCCCTAAACCCTTCTGGTCCCCCCTAGTGAGTTTATAGACAGTCACCAGGTCCCCCCTCAGCCTTCT